TCTCCTCTCTCTCCCACACACAGGGTGTGTGTCTCTGTCTGCCATACTCTCTCCCCTCCCTCCGTTCACATCCTTTGATTGTCGCATTTATGGCTGTATTATATGCCTCTTTATCACCAAAGGACAAACTCCTGCACCAATAGAGCACAATAGTAGCTGATCTCTGTAAACTATAACCATCGGCCTTTAGATACTATTCTGAGGCTTTCTTTTTTGACTATTTCAGACTGAAGGATTGAAGAAGCATTATACAAAAAACACTTTTTCATTTGAAAGCTGTTCATCAGGCTCACTTGCCAGAAGAACATCCACAAACCATTTGAATGACCAAGTTCCTGCTTCAGATCACTAGCTGATACTATCCAAGCTGCTAATGTTATTGTGTTGTCTAGAATAATGGTAGACTTGTCTTGTCCACACTGTGCATTGAATGAATTTGGAGGATTTTTTCTAATCTTACCTGTAACTTGCTACTGGAATAGCTTGCAGTTCCTACATCTGAAGAAAGTAGGACTTCATATTTATGTAGTAACTTGGACAGGAGAAGAGTTTGTATATAAGATCTTTGTCTATCAGCTGATAAAATGCAGTGTCATAAGATGACTGTGGTGGTGCAGTGTAACTAGATGGCTTCCTTTTAAGAGTTGTTATACTCAGTAGGAAGAGGTATATTCAGTTATAATCTGCATCCTAAGCAATCAAATCTTCCACAGATGTTCAGCATGTTATCTCCTCCTCTGAGTGCTGCCTCCCTTAGATTGGTTGATCTCCAAATGTTTCTATTTTATGATGTTTCTTGTCTTGTGTGTGAGTTATTTCCCTCCCTCCCAACTCTCCCCCCCCACCCACACACACACACATGAAAACAATGCAAAAGGACCAAGCGCTGGACAATGTACTTGCTCTAGTAGCTATAGAAGCAGGTGCATATGATGCTCTCTGATCAGATTGAGTCTGTTTTCTTTCCTGGACTCACTACAAGTCTGAGATTTGCCAAATTCAACTTCCTTTTGTATGTTGTATAGTATTGGTAGCACATCGTCTAAACCACAAAACTCATTCCATAGCCCCCAGTACAATGAATTGCTCCTGGCTTCTGCTGCCAACATCACAAAATTCTGTCCAGCAGTAGTGGCTTTTGAAAACTTTGCATTCTTTTGATTTTCTTGACAAATATCTTTGTGGAGTGTCCTTGTGGTTTGATGTAAGCTTTAGGGGGCTTGTATCCTTCACGTTTTCATACACTATAGCTGCCAGGCAGAGGTTAATTCCCAAAATATATTAGCATTACCAGCACCCTTCACAAGTATATAGCCGCGTGCTAAATTAGATCTATATGTTAGTATCAAAATCACCATTTTTATTTAGGGAGCTCTTTGACTGGAGCCCAATATGAAGCTGTATATTGTCATTTCTAACACTAATATCATCCTGTTCATAACTGTCAGTGAATTAAAAAGCTACTTTCTGGAATATTTCAAAGGCTATTACTGCATGCATCAGTTATTACTGCATGCATAGGCAATTACAAATAAAACCTTCTACCAGGCAGGCTAGATGGTATGTACAAAAGCTTACAACTGGAGAAGCATTACGTTGGAAATTCATGTATAATTATATTTACGTGTTATACAGTACAAACTATGGGCAGGTAATCTACTGCTTATGCTGCACTGCCTTCAGTGTGATACTGATTTGGTCAGCAATTTTCAGTTTAAAATCTAGAAGTGATTTAGTTTGCTGAGATACTTTGACAAATAAAAATATGCCATGTGAAAGCGTTCCATGTTAGTACATTGCAAAATGTTGACATTTGCCATTTTTGCTACTTGCTAAACAGCTTAATCACTTCTGGGGGGAAAACTTGCTCAAGCAAAACCAATAAAATTATTTTAATACATTGCGGTTCGATAGCTTTGACCCATGCATACCACAATAAGATGTTGACATTAACTCAAACAGTAAAACTATGTAGTCATAATCATGTTGCAATGTTTCTGGAACTTTGCAAAAAGTGACATTTTTCTCATTTTGGGTACATTATTTCACCTTGCCTACAGGTTTATGGCACCCCTTGATAGTGCCATGTCATACTTTATCTAAATGTAAATAAAATACATTAAATTCCAAAATTATGGCCCTTGTTGAAGAATTGCCACACACTTAAATGCGGTGTTGCTGCACTGTATCCTGTAGGGCTTGTCAGTGTTGTAGTAAGCTGGTTTCCTTTGTTCCTCTCTGACAGATGCCAAAGCATCACGATAGACTGCTGCTGTTTCCCCAGGAGAGATTTTACCTGTGAAAAATCAGGAACGGGGAAGTATAGCTATGTATATAAGACAAAGCCCCTAGTAGTGGGTCATCTGGTCACCCTAGCGGTACCTAGATGACTAACAGACAGTTTGAGTCAAATCTGGGAAAGATATAGGTGTACTATTGGGAAGGAGAAAGCATGCTGGAGAAATAACATGCCTCATAGCAGAGAAGCCATAATCAGAATTGAGTCCCCATCATGCAAAGTGCTGCACGAATACATAAGAAACTAGGTCCTTGACCTGAGGGTGACAAACATATACACCTATCTTAATTTTGGTTTTGCAAGTATATAATTAATGGCATTTGCCCACCAGTGCTCGAAGTAGCATATAGCCTTGGGTAGTGTTGGATTCTTCAATTCTCTTGAATGCTTATTTTCAACATCCGCATACTTGCTTTCTTTCAGCTTCACCTAGCAAGAGAACAGCACCCTGTGCAGCAGTGCTTTAGTCATAATGACCTGGCTGGTACCTCCAGGCTGAACTACTCCTCTACCTGAGATTAAAACCTAAGACCACACAAAAACGGCAGCTTGTCTACCACAGAGAAGTCAGCCTGCTAAATCCAAAGAAAGCACTGGTACTCTGCACCCTGTGTTGGATTCTCTTCCAGGTTTGGATCAATTCCTAGGCAGAGGTCCTGATCTGTGAAGCATTCAATAGGTAAGGCCTGTGCCACCAGAGAGACTCTCTCTCCTTCATTTGCCCTCCCCACTCCACGCCACACACATTCATCTGCAATTGACTGGCACAGTATAGCTGAGGCTTCATCTTGAAACCCAGGCACTCTCAGGGGAACGCTTTAGACTAGGATTACCAACCACTGGTGATTAGGATGATCCTAAATGTTGTGAGCACCCCTGTGATGTTATGAGTGTAATGTAATATTTCATTGGAAGGTGACAGGGCCAGAAAGAATTAGTTAACTCATCAACTGACCTGACCCATGGGTGAACTTTAGAGACTGGCTAGGAAGATAGGTAAATAGGTAGAGCTTTGAAATGCAAGTCTGCATTGTTAGAGATCTCAAGGGTAGATATTTATTCAGGTCTTGAGATGTAAGCAAACAAGTCTTGTCTATTGCTATAGTTTTAATTCAAAGATCAAAAAAGGAATATTAACATTTGTGATGATATTGAGTGAAATAGTATTATTATCTATATGTCTCTTTGAAGGTTGTGGTAACCTGTATCTGAACTGTTTAATGGATAAATTACCCTGTGCTAATTGCCAGGATGTTTGGAAGGAGAATTAAGCCTATTGTTTTCTCAGGCCACAAGGCTGCTGGAAATGTATAAGAACCCTGGGACACGATCCTACTTGATCTCAGATCTGCTCTGGGTTTCAAGAAGGGGAAACCTTAAGCAACAAGGATTGAGATTCCCAGTCGTTGACTGGAGCCACCCTGAATATGGACATTGGACTATAACCTATGAACTATTTCTAAAAGGACTTTTGGCAACAAGAAGCTCACCTCTGCTATCTATCTGTACGTCAAAAATTGAATTCAAGTCTGTATGTATATTACTCTTTTAACTAACACTCTTTTTTTAATTTTTAGTTTAGCTAATAAAAATTGGCTATAGCGTGTATTTTGGGTAAGATCTAAGTTATAACTGAACCTGGGTAGGTGGCTGTTCCTTTGGGATTGGAAGAACCTTTTCTTTTATATGATTGATGATTACTGAAAATCTTATCTGACAAGTGTATCTGAACGGAGGCCTCAGGCTGGGCACTTTAAGGGAACTGCACGGTTCGGACTTCTGAGTAACCAGTAAGGTACTATAGAAGCTGTTTTGTGCTGGCTTGGTAAATGTAAGTATTGGAATAACCACCAGCTTCTGGGGTTTGTCTGCCCTGTTTTGTTTGCAGTTCACCCTAATTGAGTAACCTCAGCTGGCTCCCACGGGCAGCACCGTCACAACCTCTTATGTAAGAAACATTCCATATTTGATGGCTGCTGTCCCATGACCTTTATCCAACTTGGAGTTGCAGCAATGGAACAATGTAAAAGTTCATTCACTATGTGTGATTTTGTACTATGAATAAAGCATCCAGCGTATGGTCTCTTTAAAGATGCGTTTTTCATAGTGGATCTTTATTTCCTTGAAACCTAGGAAGGTTACCTTGCATCTCTCACAATGTGGTGTTTGAGACTCTCCTCCTTCCCCCCCCCCCCATTTCAAAAGGGTTCTTCTTGGCCTTAGCCTCAGAGAGAAAAAGCTTGAAACCATGAACTCAGCAAACCTGAAGGAAGGCCAAATTTTTCTTTAAGTCTCATGGTGTCTTTAGACCTTTCTCCTGCTTTTTGGGGTCCTGACTCATGAGTTGTTGAAGGCTTGTGGTAGGGCTGCCAGTTTTGGTTGGATGTATCCTGGAGGCTTCATTACATGATGCAATCTCTAATTAAAGATTCATCTTTAATTCCTGGAGATTCCATGACAATCCTGGAGAGCTACCACCCTGAGCTTAGGGGGACGGTGCTGCCTCAGGAAGGGAGATGGGGAAAGAGCCTGAGAGGGTCTAAGGGACTGGGACGGGGGGATTAGGAGGGGAGCAGGGGGGGAGAGTCCCTGGGCATGGATCCAGGCAGGAGGAGAGTCAAAGGGGCTGGGCAGGCGCTAGGGGAAAGCCTTGCCTAGGATGAGGCGAGGGGAGGAGCAGGTGGGGGCGTAGGGAACAGGCTTTCCCTACTACGCATGCTCGCACCTGCCACCTCCTCCCGCCGTGGGTCGCATGCGGCACTCAGCGGCCGGGTGCACCAGGCAGCTGCTAGGGCTGCGCGCCGGGGGAGCGGTAGCTGGAGCTGCGGGGCCATGAGGCTGGCGGAGGGGAGCTTCGGCCGGGCGCTCCTTCCCCCTCCGCAGCGAGCGTAGCCGCCTGTTTGGGCAGAGCCGGGTCCCCGCCATTGATGCCGCTGCCGTTGGGCGGCGGTGGCGCGCGCCGCAGAGGAGCCGTTTGATTCCGGGCTGGTAACGGCTGGTGCCGGCCGCTGCCCGTGGTCGGGCCGAGGCCTGGGGCTGCCCCCAGTATGCGATGGGGAACTGCTGGGCGCAGTGGTGCTGCGGCCTTTTCTTGCGGAGAGAAGCGGGGCGGATCCAGCGAGGCGGAGGGTAAGGCGGAAGGAGCAGCCCCCTGGGGCGAGGAGGCGCCGGCCCGGGCTGGCTCCGCCCTGCGCCGGGTGGGATGGCCGGGTCCCGCGCGGTCGTTACCCCGCACTCCCACCCCCGGACCCCGGCGGGGTGGAAGGGCCTGGCAGCGGCACGGCGGCTTCCCAGCCAAAGGGGGGGGCGGCTGGCGGGCTGGCTGTCTGTTCTTTCCCT